GTGGCGACATCTTTTGGAGGGTTCCAAGGACCCCCTGTTGATCATAACCGACCACAAAAATCTGGCATATATAGGGGATGCCAAACGTTTGTCTTCCAGACAGGCTAGATGGTCACTGTTCCTTTCACGTTTTAACTTTCTCATTACTTATAGACCTGGTTCTAAAAATACCAAGGCTGATGCCTTGTCCAGGCAATTTGATAATGAGTCAGCTCCGGAACAGATGACATCTCCTATTATTCCACCAGAGTGTATTATTGCTACTACTGTCCTCTCACTGTCTTCTCCACTGCTTGGCACCATACTGGAGGCCCAGCCTCAGGCGCCCAGTGGTAAACCGTGTGATAAACTGTTCGTTCCCCTATGTGAAAGGGTTAATATCATGAAAGTGTTCCATGACAATATAACTGCTGGACACCCGGGCATCAATAAGTCCACTGCCGCGATCACTAGATCATTTTGGTGGGATTCACTCAGGAAAGATGTAAAGGAGTATGTGCAGGCATGTTCTGTGTGTGCAGTTTCTAAGGTGACTCATGCACTTCCTTGTGGCCTGTTGCAGCCTCTTCCTGTTCCTGAGATTCCATGGTCCCACCTATCCATGGACTTTATTGTTGAGCTTCCTAGCTCTGCTGGGTTCACTACTATTCTCATGGTTGTAGACCGATTTTCTAAGATGGCTCACTTCATTCCTCTCAAGAAGTTGCCATCTTCGCAAGATTTGGTCCTAATTTTCATACGTGAAATTGTCCGTTTGCATGGCATCCCCCACAATATTGTGTCTGATAGGGGCTCTCAGTTTGTGTCCAGGTTCTGGAGGGCGTTCAGTAAACAATTGGGGATTGATCTCTCCTTCTCCTCCTCCTACCATCCACAGACCAATGGTACAGCTGAGAGGGCTAACCAGTCATTAGAAGTTTATTTGCGTTGTTTTATTAATAGCACACAAGACAATTGGTCCGAACTACTCCCGTGGGCCGAGTTCGCTAGAAACAATGCTGTTCATGACTCCTCTGGGCACAGTCCATTTTTTGTCAATAATGGTAGGCATCCTACGGTTCTCCCTGCGGTATTTTCTGATACTGCCATTCCTGCTCTGGATGAGCGTCTGGCCTCCATTCGGGATACCTGGGTTAAGGTTCAAACTGCTCTAGGGGCTGCTGCTGAACGCTTCAAACATTTTGCTGATAAGCGTAGGAGTGCCAACCCGGTGTACCAAGTGGGGGACCGGGTTTGGTTGTCATCTCGCAACATCAAGCTTAAGGTCCCTAGCATGAAGTTTGCCCCCAGATTCCTTGGTCCCTATAGAGTGCTTCGTAGGATCAATCCAGTGTCTTACTCTCTGGCTCTTCCTGCATCTTTAGGGATTCCCAACACTTTTCATGTGTCCTTACTCAAACCTCTTGTCTGCAATAGATATACTGTTCCTTGTGTTCCTCCCCCTCCGGTGGTGGTGGGTGGTCAGGAAGAGTATGAGGTATCTTCTATCGTGGATTCTAGGTTTTCTCGGGGCACTTTACAGTACTTGGTTGTTTGGAAAGGTTACGGTCCTGCTGATCGTTCTTGGGTTTCGGCTCCTGACCTGCATGCGGGCCGTAAGATCCGCGCTTTTCACGCTAAATTTCCTCTCAAGCCTGGTCCTGTCCGCCCGGTGGGCGTTCTTCAGGTGGGGGGTAATGTCACATATTCATCCGCTTATAGAAATGTGGTTAATGACATTTACTGTCCACACAGGAAAAGTTGTGCCGAGCAGCAACCTAATCCACAGAAGGGTTAATGCTGAGCAGCAATTATGCAAATGAAACCTGGTAACTGACTTTGGGGTCAAAGGCCGGTTACAGCCTATCAGAACTAAAGGAGGGGTATTTAGGCCCAGTTCTCAGCCTGCTCAGTGCCCTGTCGTGGTTTCCCTTGTGGTTGTCTGAGAGCGCGTTCCTGTTTATAGTTTTCTACCTGGTTTTTGACTTTGGCTTTGTTTATTGACTTCTCTATATTCTGGTATCCTGACTCCTGGCTTTCCTCATCGCTGTGTCCCTTTCTGTGTTCCCTGACCTCGGCTAGTATTTTTGACTATTCTTTGTACGTTAAATCCGGCCATTCTAAGGACCGGTAATACGTTACTTATTTGTCATCCGTGCTGTACAGTTCTACGTGCTGGATCAAACAGTAATCCTGACAACAAGGAACAGGATGCAAATTGATAACGAGGCACTGAATGTTGCTAGAGCGCCCGTTGGAAGCGTAGTTTGCATCAATGGCTGCAACCAGATTTCTGATCAGGTAGGTTGTGAAAAACCCTTGATTGCCTGCAAAAGATCTGCAGCAAGACTTGGTTGCAATACGCACTTAGGTTTCACTGAGCACAGTAAGTGTGTGCACAAAAGGTTTCCATGCCAGGACTGCACTACTGACCGAAAAGAATAATCAGCTCCAATATACTTAAAATCATATAAATAAGCCACATAATTTGGGGGATTCTGTTTTGTGGAGTGATGAAACATAACTGGAACTTTTGGACCCAATGGATAAGTGGTATGTCTGGAGAAGGAAGGAAGCATATGCTGAAAAGAACACTCTGCCTACAGTTAAGCGTGGTGGTGGCTCGGTTATGCTCTGAGGCTGCTTTTCATCCTCTGGCACTGGACACCTGCAGCGTGTTGAAGGCAAGATGGATTATATGAAGTATCAGGAAATCCTAGAAAGTAACGTCATGCTGTCTGTGAGGAAGCTAAAGCTTTGGCGTCGTCATTGGACCTTCCAACAAGACAATGATCGCAAGCATACTTCATATTCCAAGTTTGCCCCCAGTTATGCCAACCTGTTTATGGTCTTTTGGGAAGAATCTTTTATTTTTGGCTAGCATGACTGGAGGGAGCCTATGGCCGCTACATTGATGACATTTCTTTTATATGAAAGAGTGGAGAAGAAAGTCTAAGTTTTTTTTAGAATTTTTAAATAACATTTAGGAAATTTAAATTGACCAGCACGTGGAGTAGAGAAGTAATCACTTTCCTGGATCTTAACATCTATATCGAAGAAGGCGTTATCAAAACCAAGAACCATTTTAAAACTGAAGACTGTAATAGTTTTATTGAGAATATAAGTTGTCATTATTCTCCTTTGTTAGAGAACGCTCCCAAAGGACAACGTTTAAGAATTCATCGGAACTGTAGCGATAACAACCACCTATTAAAACCAGTCATTGAAAATTTAAAACCGATTTCCTGGAAAAAGGATATGATACAGACAGATTGGAAAATTCCAGATTAGAAATAAGAGAAATGGAGAGAAAAGATTTACTCTCATATAAAACAAAAAAACAATTCAGACATAAGAGACATCCCTTTTATTTGCAATTTTAATATCAACAATTACCAAGTATGAAAGATTGTCAATAAATACTGGCCGATCCTTTTACAAGACCCTGTTTTAAAAACAATCCTTCCAGTAAAACCAAAATTTGTCCATAGAGGAGTAAGAAATTTAAAAAGCTCATTGGAAAAAAGGTTTCTTAAGGAGAAAAAAGATTTACCTACAGTTTTTAAAAACAAAAAAGGATTTTATAGTTGTGGACAATGCACAGCCTGCAAAAGATCTGGTTGCACTAGAAGAATTAATAAAAAATATCAGTTCTAATGAAGGAACAATAATAATAAAATAACTTATAACATGCTACACAAAAAATCTGATTTACCTTTTAACTTGTCCATGTGGACTAAGATATGTGGGCCGTACAACCAGACCCCTACATACTAGAATTAAAGAACACATATACAATATTCAAAAGGGGTTCGAAAAACCTAGTGTCCCAAGTCATTTTAAAACATTTGATAATTAGAAACACAAAGGCTTATCTTTTATTGGGATTAAAAAGGTGGAAAAAAGTTGGAGGGGTGGTGATTTCTTCCGTGAACTAGGGAAGTTGGAGATGGAGTGGATATTCAAATTACATACACTAATGGTATTAATTCTGATTTTGAGCTTCACCATTTTTTATAATTATTTAATTTCTCTTTGGTCTTGAGATATCCAACATGTGCCACTTTATTAATATATATATATATATATATATATATATATATATATATATATATATATATAGCCCTCCTCTTCCGTCACTTTGTTATATATTTTAAGCTCAAACCATTTTGAGTTTTACCATTTTTTTTAAATGATTATTTAATATGTGCTATCTTATTTACAAATACAGTTCTTCTCTCCCTCTACTCCACCACATCTTAAGTCTTAACTATTTCCTAAAACGTATATGTTTTTAAAATTCACAGCATATATACAACATTATGAATTCTAGAGATATTTCCTTAACTATTTTACATAACTCTGGGTATTTATTCATTTAACTAATTGTTTAATTGCCTATCCATTTGGAGAGAGATTTTGTCAACTTTTATTATTCCCAGCAATTTTAGGTATTTATACATACATTTTCTGCATATTTATGTTTACCCTTTTATTTACCTCGATGTTCGTTTTATATTTATGATTATTTCCCCTTTTAATCTAAATATGATGTTCTTTTCTCTGCTGAATTGCAGTAAATATTACTCCAAGCCTTAATGTTGAGAAATACGTAGAGCTACTACTCTATACACTTATTAAGTGTTCTTGCATAGCAAGACCACTTATTGTTATCTCACATATATATTATTATTCTTATTATAGCCAAATTTGCCACCCTAACTCCTCCCACAGTTTTTACACTAGATAGACAAAAATTTACCAAAACGTGCAGATTGTTCCCGATCGGATTGCTATTACTTTGTGGAATGTTTCGCTGATTGGTTCACGGAATATCGTTGTTCTTGTGGCGCAATTTGTCCCATAGGAATGAATGGCAAAGCTAGAGTGGGAGCTGGCAAAAGCTGAAAGATCAGGACATGATTTCTAAACTGCCACCACTCCCTTATTTTCAGGCCCACCTACACAAATCTTATATCAAAACGTTCAGCTATCCCTGCTGCCACTAAACATGTCAACGGCTAAGCCATGGTCCTGATAGTTTTCACAATATAATCATTTGTTTGCAACCAACGCCGTCCATTGACATTCATTGAAACTTCACTCTACAAAGCTCAAATTTGAAGTGCAATTTCTAAACTGCGACTGTGCCTTCATTTTTAATACTTCAGAAACATACTATGCATCAAAATGTAGGTCTGGGTCTTGTGATTCTCACAATATAAAGCTCTTCGCTGTAGGATTTATAGTTCTTAAACTACGACCGTTTGAAGATGGCAACCGCCAAAATACTCTGACCTGTGCCAGGCTGCAGCTTCAAGTGATGTCATAGACAGGGCCTTTTGAACACCTGCTAATGTTTTTATAAAAGTATGGTTTAATGTAACTGTGCAACAACGTTGCAATTAAATGTGCTATATAAATGATAAGTTACTCCGCCCACTCCAGTTGTAGACTACTGGTGGAGGCAAGAACACTTCACACAATTTCCCCAGAAATTGTAGCTTTTCTAGTTAATATATACAAGTCCGTATTTTCAAAGTTTTATTAATTCTATACAGAATAACACTATTTCATACAGTCAACATCAGTTTTACACATTAATTCAGATATGAACTATACATATATAAGATATACTTTTTATTCTTTATTCATTCTCATGTATCCTTAAGAGAATTTATTTTGGCTTAAGAAGTGATATTACATTTTCTTGTCAGTTATTATTATCGCACGTAGAAAGGCCATTAGGCCTGAATTTGTGGGAGGAGTAAGTCCCCTACTTAAGCTCCCAGCCCCTACTCACCTCTGACGCTCGAGTTCAAGTGTTCCTGATCTACTTCCGGTTCGCGTGACTTCCGGTCCGGGCGTCCTGTCAGCTGCAGTCTCGGCAGAATCTTCTGGTCTTTCAGCGGTCCGGCTACCTGGCTGCTAAACCGTGAGTCACACTTGCGGTACATTCCGGTCCCCTCCACGCCGCTCTGTGGTCTTATCGGGGGGCCGGAACGCACATGGAGGCAATCTTACCGGGGACCACCCACGGTCCCCACAATACGGCATTTAGGCTGTCGGTTTCGTACATCCATCTGGGGGGTCCTACACTCCTCCTCACCTCACGGACTCATAGGTTTGCGGTAAAAATCCACCCACGATCAAAATTAACTCTGGCTATTAGGGGCATATAAATCCACTTGGGGTTAAGTCCCTGCTGTTATAGCAGAGGCTATGCTATTATACTGTGTGTATAAGGGATGCCAGTAATTTTATTATGGTATGCACGGCATGTTGGTTGTATGACTTTCCATTATTGTTTTTTTTCATGTGTCGGTTACTACAGGCCCAGCTAATGGGCTGTTATCGCCACCTAGTGGATTTTTATGATATTTGCTGGTTATTTTGTATAATTTTTTGTTTCCCTGCACTAAACTCTAGCAGCAGCTGCAATCTTACTTAAAGGTGTTACCATAAAAAATTTCTAATCACACAATGTTATACCATTCCTTTATGTGCAAGCTAATCTTAGCCCTGTTAAAAAATTTTCGTTGATCTCCACAGATCGCCCCTTTTTGTCATATATTACGGCTAAATTGCAAAACCTGGGTTCTTGTCCTTAAAATCCAGGTATAGTATTTATTTTACTTCAGTTTCTGTTTTGTGAATACCTCAGGCAGCATTCACTTACTCTTGCTCAACTCACGTTGCGCTCATACGTCACACACTCTCAGATCTACATCTGTCTCAAACCCTTAGGTTTCTTCTACGATAACACAAACTGCTTTGCTTCTTCTAAAATTGAAAAAACCCTGGTCCTTATCCCTTAATCCAGGTATAGTATTTATTTAACTTCAGTTTCTGTTTATCAAAGCCTCAGGCAAGCCTTCACTCTACACTTGTTGCTCTGTCTCGGATCACTCGTTCAGACCCCTCATGAGCCCACGTTGCGCTCTTACGTCACGCTCATACAGATCTACATCTGTCTCAAACCCTTAGGTGTCTTCTACGATATCACCAACCGCTGTACCTCTTCTAAACTGGAAAACCTGGTTCTTGTCCTATTATCCAGGTATAGTATTTGTTTCACTTCAGTTTCTGTTTTTAAGGCTTCAGGCAGCCTTTCATTTTACACTTGCCACTCTCTCGTATCACTTGCTCACACCCCCCAGAAACTCATGTGGCACTCATACACCACGCTCACAGATCTACATCTGTCTCAAACCCCTTAGGCTTCTTCTACGTTATCACCAACCGGTGTGCCTCTCTTCCTAAATACTTGAAGGTTCAAGTTCCCGGGTATAACCACTATCAACATACATACAAAATAATAGGTGGAGCTGTAAATTCTTGAGAAGTCTGTAAAACACAAATATAATGCAAAATAGCGTAGTATGTCTGTAATTGCCAATGGAACAAGAATAAGAAGTAGTGGAAACTCACAAGGCTGGAGTCATACCGTCATATGACTCTGGAGGTATACGTCTCTGGACCATTGGGGGTTGTCCGGACCCTTCTGTTGTCAGCTTCTTGGTCTTCCCCCTTTTATGTTCCTTTATTGGTCCCCAAGAAATACTTGGTAAACGGATAGTATTTCAATAGTGATATATATTTATTAAAAAAAAAAAAGTAAATGTAAAAATTATAAAACATCCATATACCAGATAGTACTGAATATAGGAATATAACACAATGCATATACAAATGCAAAAAGTGTCCAAAGAATGTTCAAAATGTCCAAAACGCGTTTCACCTGTTTAACAGGCTTCCTCAGTTGGCTGTGATCCTCTTTTCCTCCTTCTTGTCCTTTTTGTAAACTTGGTTTGCCGTTTTTTTCGCCTCCTTCCATCACTTCCGGGTTTTTCGCATCTGGAACGCAACGTGCGTTCCACCTCGGCGACTACTTCCGGGTCTCCTGAAGCAGGGACGCACGTGCGTTCCAGCCACTCTCTGAACTTCTGGTTAACATCTAAATGGAACGCACGTGCGTTCCACCTACCCCTTTTGTGTCCTTCCTCATACACTATCATTTTGTTAAATTGAGATAGTGGTCTATTGGAACGCACATGCGTTCCACCAATAGATATAATGAAAGAGGGTATAAATACAGATGTATAATATAAAATAACATACAAATAAAAGTATGTAAAAAACAGTATGCAAATCATAATGAATCACATATAATCATAATGTGGGTGATGTGTATACCCAATTTAAAATTGCAGTTCATGCAGTAGCCATGCATAAATATGTAAAGTGCAAATTAATTGTGCAATATAATATAGTGCCAAAGAGGTAAGGATTGTTATAAACTTTCCTTATATAACGGTGCAAGAGTGTAAAACCTCTATACATATCCAGAAGGAATGTTTTTTTTGTGCAATCAAATTAGTAAAAAAAGATTGGAGAGGAGGGGATTATGCGAATAAAATAGGGAAAGAAGAAATGCGATGTATATTTAATTTTAACACTATGATACCACACGGACTTAACAACGATTTTGAACTATGTCATTTTATGAATTAGTTCTCATCATTTTTTACAATAATTTTTTATATATTACTTATGTATCTTTAGCATCTAAGACCACTCCTTTTTTATTCACTACGTACTATTTTATTAAAAATAATTTCATGAGTATTTAACATTTTAGCATCCCTTAAAGATATTAAGAGGCCTTAAAATTAAAGGTATACTACGTCCATTGAGTATTAGATACACCCCATAGATATGTATAGAGGTTTTACACTCTTGCACCTTGCACTGTTATATAAGGAAAGTTTATAACAATCCTTACCTCTTTGGCACTATATTATATTGCACAATTAATTTGCACTTTACATATTTATGCATGGCTACTGCATGAACTGCAATTTTAAATTATGATTATATGTGCTTCATTATGATTTGCATACTGTTTTTTACATACTTTTATTTGTATGTTATTTTATATTATACATCTGTATTTATACCCTCTTTCATTATATCTATTGGTGGAACGCATGTGCGTTCCAATAGACCACTATCTCAATTTAACAAAATGATAGTGTATGAGGAAGGACACAAAAGGGGTAGGTGGAACGCACGTGCGTTCCATTTAGATGTTAACCAGAAGTTCAGAGAGTGGCTGGAACGCACGTGCGTCCCTGCTTCAGGAGACCCGGAAGTAGTCGCCGAGGTGGAACGCACGTTGCGTTCCAGATGCGAAAAACCCGGAAGTGATGGAAGGAGGCGAAAAAACCGGCAAACCAAGTTTACAAAAAGGACAAGAAGGAGGAAAAGAGGATCACAGCCAACTGAGGAAGCCTGTTAAACAGGTGAAACGCGTTTTGGACATTTTGAACATTCTTTGGACACTTTTTGCATTTGTATATGCATTGTGTTATATTCCTATATTCAGTACTATCTGGTATATGGATGTTTTATAATTTTTACATTTACTTTTTTTTTTTAATAAATATATATCACTATTGAAATACTATCCGTTTACCAAGTATTTCTTGGGGACCAATAAAGGAACATAAAAGGGGGAAGACCAAGAAGCTGACAACAGAAGGGTCCGGACAACCCCCAATGGTCCAGAGACGTATACCTCCAGAGTCATATGACGGTATGACTCCAGCCTTGTGAGTTTCCACTACTTCTTATTCTTGTTCCATTGGCAATTACAGACATACTACGCTATTTTGCATTATATTTGTGTTTTACATACTTCTCAAGAATTTACAGCTCCACCTATTATTTTGTATGTATGTTTATGTGTTTTTAGTGGTGTAGGGGATTCCACTACATAGGTGTTTTAGAGCTATTATACCTTCTTTCTCCTTCTGTGTACACATCTTTTTATACCATAACCACTATCAAGGTTAGTATCCAACCATTACATAATTTGCCAAATTATCCCATAGATGGTACGTGAACTGGCTCACAGGGTCTGGGCTCCAGACCTAGCTCACCGAGGCATTTACAGGTCCCGCCTTCTCCCACCTCAACACGGAGGTACGGTCCCATGTCCAAATCATAGTTAAACGCCTCATCCGCTCTTCTACATGGCCATAGTCAGGGCCTCACTTTCCACGACCACACATTTTGAACCTTTTAAATGTCACGAGAGGCCAACATCCCACCACCACATCTGTGGCAACGTACTTACCTCGCCCAAATCATAGATAAAGCCTCTCATCGCCACTTGGCACTAGTAGGGCCTCATCTGTCACTAGTCATAGTTAAGTTCTTCGCTTCAGCAATAGCC